AACTCCTGTGAGATTGTTAAAAAAGGAATTGGGTCTATTTAGCTGCAGAACAGAAGATTGAGGGGAGATGCAATAGTACTGTAGTCTTCAGATATCTAAGAGTGTCATGTTGAGGAAGATTTGTTCTTTGTCACCCCAGAGGTCAGGACGAAAACTGTTGTGTTCAAACGATAAAAGTAGATTTAGATTAGGCATATTTATGCACCGTAAGTGCTGCGGACCAATTGAATTAGATGTCTTGCAAAGTGATCTATTCCTCCTTCAGCAGGTCTTCCAACAGAGACTGGATCACCTTTTGTCCAAAATGGTTTAGCAGATCTAGCATTGGACTTGGTAACCTCTGAGATCCCTTCCAACTCTGATTCCAGACAAAATCACCTTGCGTAATAAAATGTACACCACGCACACATTTTACACTCTGTGTAAATACATATGCACACATGGAATTCTAGTAAGCTGTTGTGAAGAACAGATTGCCATCTCATATTTTGTAATATGAGATGTTTCACTGATCGGATATACATTTCAAAAATAAGTAGTAAATCAGGCTTCAGTAACAATCGCTCCCTTGTAAAGGGATAGGTGAGAGCCTGTGTGGTGTATTGGCTAAGGCATCAGGCTAGAAACTGGGAGATGGTGAGTTCTAGTCCCATCTTGGGCACAAAGCCAGCTGGGTGACCATGGGCCAGTCACTTTCTCTCAGCCCTAGAAAGAAGGCATTAGCAAACCACTTTTGAGAATCTTTGCCGAGGCAAAGGGATCTGTCCAGCATTTGTGTTGAGAATCAGACTCAGTTAAACAGACACGCACAAAGAAATGCATTTTGGGGGATGGAAAGTGTGTTGGAGCAGGGGTAGGTGTTTCCCATTTTCTCTGCTCAAATTAGGTTAATAATAGTACTGCTCCAGTAGTAGGTTTCCAATATTCTTACCACTGGTTCGCCCCATGCCAGGGGTGAAATCCAACAGGTTCTGACAGGTTCTGGAGAACCAGTAGCGGAAATTTTGAGTAGTATGGAGAACCGGCAAATGCCACCTCTGGCTGGCCCCAGGAGTGGGGGGGGGAATGGGGATTTTGCAGTATCCTCCCCCTGGAGTAGGGTGGGAATGGAGATTTTGCAGTATCCTTCCCCTGCCACGCCCAAGTCATGCCCACCAAGCCACTCCCACAGAACTGGTAATAAAAAAGTTTGGATTTTACCACTGCCCCACACGTATGCTCACTTCTCGCACACGCCTTCCGTGCATGCACCTGGCCTTTCAGGCATGCGTTTTGCTCTTGTGCATGCCTTCTGGTCTCAAAAAACGTGGCTAAATAGGACGGCATTATGCCAGGGTGAGGTGGTGGGCCCTCCTGCAGTCGCCCAAACGTGTCCGAACTGGCTGAATACCACCTCTGTGCTGCTCCTGCCATCAAGTGTTTTGGGTATAGAATAAGCATCCATGCTTGCTATTAGTGAGAAGCTCTAAGACATGGTCACAGTATCTCTTCTTACAGAGGAGAACACCAGCCCCCACTGCTGAGGTCGGGTGTCAAAATGATTAATTTGGGGGCAAAATCATTGCACACAACTAGAACAGGAGACTAGACCCCTAAGAGGCCAAGTGTTCTCCCCCCATCTTCCAACCCCCCCCCCCCCAGACTGGTTCCATATCCTTGTGATGATCATTTGATGCCAGATTTTAGCAGCCCAATTTTAGGAGGAGGGTGAAAAGGAGGCAGTTGAGCTGTCAGGGGTACCCTGCTTTCAATTTGCTCCCATTCTTAAAAGCACTTTTTAAAAAAAGGCTGGGAAAATTGGCACTGCTCTTTTGGATGATGTCATTGAGTCACCAGATGGGACAGAGACAGCAATTGTGGGCACGTTGCTCACTGTCTAGGAAGTCATCCTCCTCCTCAATGTGAAAAAGTTACCCTGAAACTAAGCCAGCATGCAAAACACCTAATGCTGAGCTTTAAGGTGGATCTGTCTTAAAAAGTTTCAAAGGCAATGGAACAAAGGACCGTGCACTGTTATATTTGCTTCCTTGTTTTCGTTTTTAAGTCAACTGGATGACTCATTTGCAAATGTTACTCTGAAACAGAGTCAGACAATTGTGTTTAGTTTGGAAACAACACTTTTGTGATTTGTGAAGGCTTCCAAAGATCACCTGGAGAAGATGGGGAGTGTTCCTGACACAAAGATATTTATTTATTTATTTATTGGTTCGATTTATATGCCGCCCTTCTCCGGAGACTCAGGGCGGCTTACAATGCGTTAAGCAATAGCCTTCATACTTTTGTATATACCTGCTTAGTGGGGCTTTTGCCCCCCCTAAACGGTGTTCTTTTTTATACAAAGTCAGCTTATTGCCCCCACAATCTGGGTCCCCATTTTACCTACCTCGAATGGATGGAAGGCTGAGTCAACCTTGAGCCTGGTGAGATTTGAACTTGCAGTAATTGCAGGCAGCTGGTGTTACTTAACAGCACTTTAGTCTGCTGCGCCACCAAGGCTCAGCACCAAGATAGCACATAGCAATAGCACTTATGCTTATATACTGTTTCACAGTGCTTTACAGTCCCCTCTAAGAGATCTACAGAGTCAGTGTATTGCTCCCAACAATCTGGGTCCTTATTTTACCAATCTTGGAAGGATGGAACGCTGAGTCAACCTTGAGCTGGTCAGGATTAAAGTCCTGGCTGTGAGCAGAGCTAGCCTGCAATACTGCATTCTAACCACTGTGCCACCATGGCTCAAGATTGTGGGATAGGAGAGAAAGAGAAAGAGGGAGAGAGAGAGAGAGATGTATGCATTTCCCTTATCACATCTGAGCTTGTTGATCAGAAAGGTTGGCAGTTCAGCGGTTCAAATCCCTAGTACAGGTCTCCTGCATGAGCAGGGGGTTGGACTAGATGACCTCCAAAGTCCCTTCCAAGTCTGTTACTGTCACTGTTACAATCTATTTCTGTTCTCCCTTTTTGTGAAATAAAAACAGCCCCCTTTGCTGACAAATTTAACTGTAACAACTTCAAGATGGGCTGTGCACTGCCCATCTGCACGGGCAGACAAGTGTCAGTCTTTCCAACAACAACTGGAGGGCCACCAATGTCGACTCACCATTAATCCACTATAAAAAGAAAATTTGGCACAAGAGAAATGATTCTCCTCTACCGGCAGGGAAAGCAGGAACTCCCAGGCCCCTTTTCAGTCCAGTTGTGCTGCTAAGTTGTTTTGTCTCAGGTATTTTGCAGGCCGCTTGGGCACTCCCGGCCCCCACAGGTTCCATCTGGAAAAAGGGCAGCTCCATCACTGAAGTCAAATGAGCCCCTAGCTAGCAAGTGACATTAGTGAAAAATTAGCAAGGAGGTGATCTTTCCTTGAGACATTTTTGATCCTGCTGGGATTATAATGAGGCAAAGTGAGTGAAACACAAAAAAACAAGCTTTGTGGAAATGAAGAGACAAAAATATCAAAGGTCCTTCCCCACTCCCCACCTCCAGCAACATACTGAAGCTAAATTAAATACATTTTTTCTTTTCTTTCTGATTTCTGTTGAAAGCCTGAACGTTCATGCTGTCAGGTTGGCTCTGAATATGTTCAACCAGGAAGGGGGAAGCTGAGGTAAAATATATTCCAGGAGCAGCACTGGCGAGAGCTAGTTTAGTCAGCAGTTAAGCCGTCAGGCTAGAAACCAGGAAATTCTGCCTACAGCCTTAGGCACAAAGCCAGCTGGGTGACCTTGGGGCCAGTCACTTTTCCTCAGCCCTAGGAAGGAGGCAAGGGCAAACCACTTCTGAACAATCTTGCCAAGAAAACTGCAGAGACCAGGGCAGGCAGTCATCACTTCCTCTCATTCTCTACATTTCTAAAATTAGTAATAAATCAGGCTTCAGTAACAATTGCTCCCTTGTAAAGGGATAGGTGAAAGCTAGTTTGGTGTACTGGCTAAGGCACGGGTGCGGAATGATGGCCCTTTTATGACTTGTGGACTTCAACTCCCAGAATTTCTGAGCCAGCAATGCTGGCTCAGGAATTCTGGGAATTGAAGTCCACAACAGGGGCGGGTTCTACTTACCTTTACTACCAGTTTGCAATGGGATCTGCGCATGCGCAGATCACCTATGATGACATCCAGGGCAGTGGGTGGAGCCTCCCGCCAGTTTTACTACCGGTTCTTGCGAACCGGTCCAAACCAGGGGCAACCCACCACTGGTCCACAACAGTGGTAGGTTTCAAAATTTTTTACTACCGGTTCTGTGGGTGTGGCTTGGTGGGCATGGCAGGGGAAGGATACTGTAAAATCTCCATTCCCACCCCACTCTAGGGGAAGGTTACTGCAAAATCTCCATTTCCTCCCAATCAGCTGGGACTTGGAAGGCAGAGAATAGATGGGGGCAGGGCCAGTCAGGATTTTTACTACCAGTTCTCCGAACTACTCAAAATTTCCGCTACCGGTTCTCCCGAACTGGTCAGAACCTGCTGAAACCCACCTCTGGTCCACAAGTTATAAAGGGGCCATTGTTCCCCACCTCTGGGCTAAGGCATCAGGTTACTGGGAGATGGTGAGATCTAGTCCCACCTTGGGCATAAAACCAGCTTGGTGACCACTGGTCACTTTCTCTCAGCCGTAGGAAGGAGGCAATGGCAAACCACTTTTGAAAAACTTTGCCAAGAAAAATTCAGGGACTAGTTAAGCTAGTCACCAAGATTTGTAAAACTGACTTGAAGGTGCACACAGACACAGACACAGACACAGACACACAGCAAGTTATCCTCTTCCGAATTTTTTTTAAATGTAATTTCTCTTTTCTAAAGCAGCACAAATGATGTATAGTACCCAGCTGCATATCCCATGCCTTATAAAACCCTGCCCCTATTGCATATTCTTTTATATTGTAATTGATCCTGATAAATGTATTGCCCTCGGTGGGGATTGGAGTGGGGGGAGAAGTGTTAGTACAGCTGGTGTTACTTTTAAAGTGCCTTGAAAGGGAAAAAAAAGTCAGCATTGCAAATCTCAGTGTAATTTTCACAGTTTATGAAGTATGAAGGGTAAACAGTTTTTTCTTCATTTGTTAGAAATGTTTCCCAGAATATTAGTAGAGAGGACTGAAGATTGATTATGCATGAAGGACATAGCTTACTTCCTATGTCCCCAAGATCTACCCACAAACATACATATCAAATCCTGTGCTTTAGCCATGGCCATAAAATCCTAGGGGTTTGCAAGCAAAATATTTGCAATTGAGAAACAGGATTCACCTGGAGGGGGAAAAAAAAAAAGAAAGAAATCTAGCAACTTCAATGACAATACATTTTGAAGACTCAACACAGCTCTTTGCTGTCCTTGTATTGCTCAGAATAGAATATTTTTTTTAATGTAATGTTTTAGTGGATGGCTTTATGGTCAACAATGCTTACAGAAGAGAAGCCAAACGAAAACATGAGCGTTGAGTTAGTTACTGTCCCTTTCCTAATTTTTCATCAAGAATTTCTCAGTGGAGCTTACTTTCACAATGGTGAGAAGGAAAAATGAAAATGAAATGCATTGGTCCATTTTGGAGATGACCTGGGGCAGGACGTGGATGGGAAGGGGATAAAGTTTCTGGTCCTGCCAGACCTCTTGACAATTTTCACTACCATTAATTGATATATTCTCCTAGATTACCTGCAAGGTTAGGAGTGGGAAACACAACACTGAGCTGTAATGGTTCTCTTCCTTCCAGAGCAGATGGAGCACTCAGCCCCTTTTATTATTTAATGTCTAACCAAAGTTTCTAGGGGAGGTTCCCTACTGGCATAGGTGAGGCATCTTTAATATGCTGATGATAATCCAGTTGCATACCTACACCTTGAACCAGATAGGCAATGCTAAGGCCTGATCTGGTGCCTATAAACTGTTAAAAATTGGAAGGGGAAAGAAACAGCTTGGGTTTATCCCAGCAAAATGGAAGGCTGTTGAATTAAAGTCTTCCGATTCCAGAAAAAAAAAATCCAACTGACTCTAGAACAAAGCAGTACTCCCCTTGTGGAGAGCAAGTTTGCAACCTGGAGCTTCTCCTGTGCTCAAGACTCCTGCTGTAATAACAGTGGAAGTCATGGCAGAGGAGTCTTTTTCCAGCTTCAGCTGGTACATTAGTTGTGGCCTTTCATGGAAGAAGAGGTTTTACTATGGTAATTCATGCTCTTGTCACTTCATAACAAGACAAATGTAATTCGCTCTATATGGGGCTGCCCTTGAGGGCCAATTGGGAGCTACAGCCAATTCAAAATCCAGCTGCACAGAGTAACAAGCGAAGCCTGCTTTAGTCATGTAACAGTTGGTTGCAGAACTGCTGTTGATTGCCAGACAGCTTCTGAGTGGAATTTAAGGTGCTAAATGTCTATGGAGATTCTCAGTCATCCAAGTCATGGTTGTCTCAAAGGTGCTTTTTCAAAAGGCAGCTGGACTTGGTTTTTCAAACGAAGGAAAAACGAAGTCCAGTTGCCTTTTGGAAAAGCACCTTTGGGACAATTTAAGGTGCGGATTAAAGCCCTATCTGGTTTCAGGCTGGCTATCTGCAAGACTGTCTGCTCTGAGTGGCATATGCCCATCTGATAAAGAGCCAGCAGAATGTGCATGCGATGGATGCCGCCTCCCTGCAGTTTCAGCAAACCGTCACCTGGGGCAAGCTTCTCATGGCCCCCTCCTCTGGAAGGGACAAGGACAGCTTACCTGCAGGGGCAAGGATCTAAGGGATACAGGTTTTCCCATCCCTAAACAAAAGATAGTAGCAAAAAATAACATTCCTTTTTGCAATTCTGTCCGCAGACAATGTGCGTGAAATAGCTACCAATTGTTTGTTTGCTTGTTTTTCTCTAGGCTCAACTGTCTAGCATCAGTATCTTATTAGTTCTGGAGTCCTTGTTGGCTCCCAAATCCCAAACCTTTGCCTTTTAATTTACAGCTCTAAGCTTCAGCATGCTTCTGGAATTCTCCAAATATATAGAAAACTTGTATGTTGGTGATCTCCTTTTATTTGCAAACCAATAAGCCAGTCTGCATTTGCTGTTAACATAAATAATTTTTAAAGACAGTCAACAGGGCCACTGAATGCCTCTCTGGTGATCCCTTTTAAACACGGGAGCCTTCACTAGGCTGCTACAAATACCTTATCCGAAACTGGGAAGCTACACAGCTGCTTCTTCTGATGCCTTCTTGATATATAAGAATATTTCTGCCTGAATTTGAATTTTTGGTCATGCTCTGGGAGTAAGCAAGATGCCTGAATGAATCTGGAATATTAGTCTGCATAATAAGACAATAACATTCTCACGAATACTTTCCTGTCACCTGTATTTGCTCAGCAGTTCAAATTTGATGTGGCAATAGCAGCTATTGTTTTAAATATGTCTTTTATATGATGCTGTACTTTTAAAAGGAAAGGCAAGAAAGCCTTTTTACTGTTTTAGGGATAATGTAAAAGACAAGATTTGCCAATGCAGCCAAAAGCTACATGAGAAAAAGAAAGGGGAAGTTAATACATTTTAACACATGGCATTTGAGGCTCTTTATGAAGAATCAGAGGGTAATGTAAAACACTAAAAATATAGTATTTGCCCGTTAATCATTTATATAGTTCCATTTATATCAGTGCATAGGGGTAAACAAGATAGTCCTAATTTTTATTAGGATGCTGTCGGCCGTTTCCAGCTGTGTTACGGACAGCATGCTCTGAAAAATAGCTGGCACTGCGTTGTAGATGTTTGACACTGGAATCGATGTGTTTTAAGCTATCCACACAGAGGCTGCATGCTGTGAATTGCCACCAGGAGCCTTTTGCATGAAATGAGTGCTCCAGTGCTCAGCAATGGAAGACTTTGGAATGCAGTCCTTAAAGTGCCTTCGACTGGGCTTTGAGTGTTGCTTTGATCTTAATTCCAGCAGGAGATAAAAGAGAAAGGTCACTTGCTCTTGTGTGTACAGAAGAGACCGTGACTTTTTCTTGGTACCGGTATCATAGGGAGAAGGAGATCGATAGTTCAAGATGGTTTGTCATTTACCCATACGTGTCTATTTCTAGAGTGCCCCCACAGAAGTGGTTTCTTGTGCATGGGAATGATAAGTTACGCATCAAGCGCAGGCACTCTTAGCGTCATCCTCTCCCCGCTCCACCCCGCCTTTTTTCCGTGATCAGACTTCAGATTCTAGGCTAGATATGCGCCTCCATGATCTTGTTGCGCAAGGGCTGTGCATCCTCGGGGTTGTCGACGTATTTCTCCTCTCAGTGTTGGCCATCTGAATAAATGTTGGATAAACCCTGCTCTGATTTCTGCAGTCTCTCTGTGTGCTATCAAAGTACGTGGCCCTCTGTCCGTCCTCATGGACCAAGAAATCCCTGCTGCATGAGGGCCAGGATGCCTGGCTGAAACAGTGCTGGGAGGCACTGGATTGTTCACATAGGTGAGAAGAGCTTGGATGAAAGCTTCTCCAATAAACAGGTAAATTTGGGTACGAGTTCACATAAGCATATTGCTTCTGCACTACAGCTGAAGAAGCCCTGTGTATGCCTGAGATGTACGGTAGACAGGCCTCTCGATAGGATGGGAGCCGCATAGATTGTGAATGTAGCAGCTGTTTCTCCTTCCAACTTAGGCCGTCGGCCTGCATACATTTCCTATTGCACGCATTGCTTGGCCTAAGGGCATCAGGAGAATGGTGGTGGACTCCATGATGGATCCCAGGCAGCAGTTTTGCTTTGGGGATCAAGCTAGCTTTGGGAAAGAAGTCCAGGACATCCCTGGAACTGGAACACTTTGGTGGATGCTTCCAGATGCCTAGAGAATGGAACTGTTCATGCTGTTCCAAGGTTGATCTTGAAAGGCTAGCTGTATAGGTCTCCTTTTCTCTCCCCAGCTCTAGTGGGTCGTATTCTTTATGTGCAAAGGGTCTACAAGTTCTGTTGTCCTTTGGGAAGGAATTATATATACAGGGATGGGGCAAGTAGTGAGTTTCCAAATTCTTTTTCTTCTCAGAAGAGAAAGCTAGCCTTGAATCCTGGATTGCACTGCTATGCTCACCTTCTTTATACAGGGGATCATTCTGGTGGAATTTTTGTTTCCCCTGGCCTCTGGACACAGGGAGCGTATACTTATGATTATGTGGAGAAAGTTCCTGAAGAGCCCTGATTGGGGAATGAGGAGCATCACTAAGAGGACTTCCGATATGTTTTCTGAGGTTAGCCTGAGATGTGGTTACCAAATACTGTGGAGCGTGGTACACAGCAAAACCTGGAATAATCTTATCTTCAGAGCAGTTGCCTCCTAATTTGAGTGGATGGAGTATCGGTGAGTGCTCAATTGTCTCTCCGCAGCTTTCACTGGTTGGTCCCACAGTTTGCTGAGGTGCCAGAAGCAAAGGTGGAAGGTTTCTCCCTAGCTTCTCACTTGTTGTAGTGTTGGAGGAATGAGCTGGCCTGTTTGACCCACTAGTGTTTTGAATCACAAATTGGGGAGTCCTTAAGGAGAAAGTTGTTTGGAAGTTTTCACTCCTACTAGACCAGTTCTCTATAGTGCGTGTAGCATTTTCCAGTGAGTTTCCAACACTGGCTGTTGATACCATATTCTTGGCTGCCTGCAGCATCTTAAGCACATTGGCTTGAGCAGAGTTAGCAGTGACATCTGGTTTGTAAACATGAACAGGACTCTCCAGGTTCTGGACTCCATTAAAACAGCTGTAAATACCCTGGGAATACAAGATGAAACAAGAAAAGAATGACAAATTGTCTTGAGAAGGAATGACCCATGGTGATACTAAATTAGCCTTTTTTTCACAGAGAGAACTCATAAATATTGAATAATTTCCTTTATCTGAGCAAAACTAAATGCCAAAACCATATAAACCTGGATATCAGATTCTTCATCCTTGAAATAGGAAGATTCAGAGAAAGCATTTTCTACTAAAATTAGTTAGGGAAGATTGAACAGAACTTTTTAAAAATTTCTTTTCAATTGTTGGTCTTACATAGAAAATCTGGATTCCACAATGAAGACCCAACAGCTCACTAAATAGTGATTGGAAAGAACTGTTCCCTCTTCTACAATGAGCTGCTCATTCAGGCAGATGTTGTAGTATAATGAAGCTATCTTCTCTTTATCTCTCAGTATGGAATCTTGTATTCAAGTTGTTAGCTTCATAACTGTCTTCAATCTGTATTTTAAAGTGTTTGCTGCTTAATTAAATTTTGTAAAATATTCCTTGAGGACACTAATAATGATTGTTATGAGATGCAATGAATCTAGTGGCTGGTTAAGAAATTTCATGTAACTAGAATTCAGAAAATGCTTCTCAAATACATGACTTTAATTTAGGCATTTAAAGCATTTAACAACAAAAGCGAACGAATGTTTTAATAGGTAAAAACTCAAATTGTATAAATAGTTATTTTCTGTCTGGTTTCTATTTACGCAAGACTTGAAACATAAGTGTTTATATTGTTTTTTTATTGCTTAGCTAAGGTGTTTATAATGGAAAAGACAAAAGGACTTGGAAATGTATATGCAATATAAATGTAATAGAACTCAACAGGCAAATAAATTCTTGTTCAATAAGCATGATTGTTTTCTTTCCTAGTAATTGTGGAAACTGTTTTCTAATCACTTTATTTTCAAATAAATTTCACACAAATTAATATTAGTGGCACCTTTCTAATTTGCTTTTAGAAATCCTGACAGCACATCCCCACCTCATGAATCCATATCAGGGATGTTTATTAAAAAATTATGGGATTATTAGTAAGGCTGAAAACTCTCCAAAAGCAGTTTAGAATAAGTTTTTGGGGACTTGCCCAAATACCAGAACCCTCTGCTTGGGGCAAATTCGAAAACCAGTGTAACCATAGTTGAGATATTGGATGGAAAATGTTGTACTTAAAAATATGACAAGTTATGAACAGTGAAAATCCTTGAGTCTTATATGCACAGGAGTCATTCCCATAGTCAACTTCCAGATTTTATTGCCAGATTTATCATCTGAACTGGCAATCATTTTAGTTTATATAAACATTGTATTGCCTAAAACACTTATAATTTGCAGCTCTTCACCTCTACACATGTTGTGAGTGAAGACAGCCAAAGTATCTTCCTACCTACTAGAATTACTGAGTTATTCAGAATCAGACTATTATTATTCACACAATTTCATGAAAACTCTTACTAAGCATTTAGGCTGTCACAAGTTTAATAAGATTTAAAACACCTAGAGGGAGCAGGAGGCCTTATGTGGAGGCGGGACAAATGATTGAATAACAAATAAGATTGCCCCTTATGCATCAGCTAACTGAAGCTAGGTTTAATTTATTTATGGCAGCACTTTGACTAGACAGACCTAAAGCTGCAATCTTGACAAAGGAACTGAGAGAAAAACAAATTTATTACTATTTATTATTAAATTATTATTTACTGTATTAAATGTGTTATTCATGTTGTGACATATTTATCCCATAATTCCCAGCCAGTTCTGCTCCAAAGGATTTTTGGGGTGAGGGTTTGATCACAATTTCCACTCCAAACAGACTATTGAAAACATAGCCCATCAATTTAAGTCCTTAGTCCGTAAACTGACATTCAAGTACTGTGTTTCCCCCCAAAATAAGACTGAGTCTTATATTAATTTTTGCTTCAAAAGATGCATTTTGGCTTATTTTCCGGCTAGGTCTTTTATTATTATTATTATTATTATTATTATTATTATTATTATTATTATTATTATTATTGAGATTTATATGCCGCCCTATCTCCAGCCGGACTCAGGGCAGCTCACAACAGTAAAAAACATCTAATGAAAAAGTAAAAAAGAAATTAAATCCAGCAGCTGAATCCATATATTACTGCTTAGTGCAGTATGTGGAACTCCGCCTCAGAATAGTTGTGGAGAAAGGAGCACACTGAACAGTGGGTGGAATACAAATCTAATGAACAAATAAACAAATAATTTAAATTGTTCTTTTTTAATGAACATTTATACAAAAGAATAAGAGTATTTCCTGGAGGAATAGAAGAAGGATTTTGATTATGATTAGTATGGTCATTAGATTTGTATCCCATTTTTATTTGTGCAACTCAAGGCCGCTTGCATAATGTTTCCCGCCTCCTATTTTCCCCACAACAAACCCCCCCTCCCCCCAGTGAGATGGGTCAAATTAAGAGAGTAAATGGCTCAAAGTTTACGGAGCTGGCTCTGATGCCTAGAACAGAAGACTAGAACTATCAATCTTCTGGTTTCAAGGCCAGCACTTTCATCCACACCAAGAGCTGGACAGCCCCCATTCTACTCGTGCTTTGAAGATCTGCTGCTTTTCCCAGGCCTTTGGCGAGATTAAATGAAGTTTCCTTGAATAGTATGGATTTGTTTCTTTTTTATTTATTTATTTATTTATTTGTTTAAATTTCTATACCGCCCTTCTCCAAATAGGACTCAGGGCGGTGCACAGCCTAAGTAAAAACAAAGCATACAAAATTTAAAAAAACAGTATTAAAATAATTAGATATTCTGGCCGTAAATTAAAACAACCCAATTTAAAACCAATTTAAAATTTAGCTCAAGCCAGCCCAGCTAGTTGAAATAAATAAGTTTTCAGGGCCCGACGAAAAATCCGGAGGTCTGTTATTATACGTAACTCTGGGGGAAGGTTATTCCAGAGGGTGGGCGCCGTCACAGAGAAGGCTCTCCCCCTGGGGGTCGCCAGCCGACATTGTCTGGCGGACGGCACCCTGAGGAGGCCCACTCTGTGCGAGCGTACTGGCCGGTGGGAGGCTATTGGTGGCAGTAGGCGGTCTCGTAAGTACCCCGGCCCTAAGCCATGGAGCGCTTTAAAGGTGGTCACCAACACCTTGAAGCGCACCCGGAAGACTACCGGGAGCCAGTGCAGCTCGCGCAGGAGAGGTGTCACATGGGAGCGCCTCGTCGCCCCCATAATCCCCCGCGCGGCCGCATTCTGGACCAGCTGGAGCCTCCGGGTGCACCCCAGGGGGAGCCCCATGTAGAGAGCGTTGCAGTAGTCCAGGCGGGAAGTGACTAGTGCCTGAGTGACTGTGCGTAGAGAGTCCCGATCTAGAAAGGGGCGCAACTGGCGTATCAGGCGAACCTGATAAAAAGCCCCCCTGGCCACGGCTGTCAAATGGTCTTCTAAAGACAGCCGTGCGTCCAGGAGGACGCCCAAGTTGCGAGCCCTCTCCGTGGGGGCGAGTGATTTGACCCCAATAGCCAGCGATGGCGTCAGCTGGCTATATCGGGACGCTGGAAGCCACAGCCACTCGGTCTTGGAGGGGTTGAGTCGGAGCCTCTTTCTCCCCATCCAGGCCCGCACGGCCTCCAGGCACTGGGACATCACTTCAAGGGCATCATTGGGGTGGCCTGGGGTGGAGATGTACAGCTGGGTGTCATCAGCGTACTGATGGAACTCCACCCCGAAGCCACGGATGATCTCACCCAGTGGCTTTACATAAATGTTGAACAGAAGGGGCGAGAGGACCGACCCTTGTGGCACCCCACAAGCAAGGTGCCTCGGGGTCGACCGCTGCCCCCCCGTCAACACAGATTGCGACCGGTCAGAGAGGTAGGAGGAGAACCACCGCAGAACGGTGCCCCCCACCCCCAACCCCGCCAACCGGTGCAACATGATACCATGGTCGATGGTATCAAAAGCCGCTGAGAGGTCTAACAGGACCAGGATAGAGGAGCAACCCCTATCCCGAGCCCTCCAGAGATCATCCACCAACGCGACCAATGCCGTTTCCGTGCTGTGCCCAGGTCGGAAGCCGGACTGGAGCGGGTCTAGATAGACAGTTTCATCCAGGTACCGGGGAAGCTGTTGTGCTACCACACTCTCAACAACCTTCGCAACAAAGCGAAGGTTGGAGACTGGACGATAGTTAGCCAAAACAGCCGGATCCAGAGAGGGCTTCTTGAGGAGGGGCCTCACAACCGCTTCTTTCAAAGCGGCCGGCAGGACCCCCTCACTCAAAGAAGCGTTAACAATCTTCTGGAGCCAGCCTCGTGTCACCTCCCGGGAAGCCAGTACCAACCAGGAGGGACACGGGTCCAATAAACATGTGGTCGCATTCAGCCGTCCCAGGACCCTGTCCATGTCCTCGGGAGCCACAGGATCGAACTCCCCCCAGATAACACTCTCAAGACCTGCCTCAGTCATCCCATCCGGACATACCCAGTCAGAGGCCAGCCCTTCCCGAATCTGAGCGATTTTATCATACAGATACTGCACAAAGTCCTCAGCTCGGCCCTGCAAGGGGTCATCCCGCGCTTCCAGATGGAGGAGGGAGCGGGTCACCCTAAACAGGGCGGCCGGGCGATTATCTGATGACGCGATAAGAGCGGCAAAATAGCTAGATTTTGCCGCTTTTATTGCCACTAGGTAGGTCTTAATATGAGACCTCACCAGTGTTCGGTCGGATTCGGAGCGGCTGGTCCTCCAACTACTCTCCAGGCGTCTTTTCCGGCGCTTCATCTCCCTAAGCTCCTCGGAGAACCAAGGAGCTAGGTGAGTTCGGTGCCGGGTCAGAGGCCGCAAAGGCACGACACGGTCCAAGGCCCCGGCAGCCGCACTATCCCAGGCGGCCACCAGGTCCTCAGCCGAGTCGTGAGTCATAGTCTCAGGAAATGGCCCAAGCTCCATCTGGAACCTATCAGGGTCCATCAGGCGCCTGGGGCGGAACCACCTGGTCGGTCCCGCCTCCCTGCGGCGGGGTGCAACGGTTAGAAAGTCCAGTCGAAGGAGCGAGTGGTCAGACCATGACAAGGGTTTTCATCCCTGTCTGGCTCTTGTTATCTTTGCCAATCTTTATTTTGGTTTATTATTATATACAGGTAGTACTTATCAATTTACAACCGTTCATTTAGGGACTGTTCGAAGTTACAATGGCACTGAAAAAGTGACTTATGACCATGTTTCACACTTACGACCGTTGCAGCGTCCATATGGTCACAAGATCAGAATTTGGAGGCGTGGCAATTAGAATGCATTTATGATGTTTGCAGTGTCCTGGCGTCATGTGATCCCATTATGTGAGATCATTTGGGCATTTGGGCAACAGAAAAATGCAATAAAAAAACAATAAATAAATAAACTGCCTGTGCAGGAACATTACTTACCCTGCTTATAGCTAGAAGGAAATCAAGTTTGTGGGACTTTGGCACGGAATGCCGCAACTTCCAAAACACCAGGTGTTCCCAAGCAAAGACAAGCAGGCTCAGCCCCATTGCCACCAGCAGCATATAAAAGACCCCCGCCATGTTATCAATGTCTAGTTTACTGCTCATCACTTCATTCTTTTCATTTTGGCAGATACCAGACAACCATACAGTCTCCAGTTTTTGGGTTTCACCTGCAAAACGACACACAAATAGGCAAAGGGTAGGCGAGGGAATGCTTTTAGCTAAAGAATCCATCCGACATTAAAGATCATCCCCTTCGTGGGCCAACTCTTAACATTTCTGGGGGGAAAAAATGATGTTTGGGGTGCACAAATTTCGCCGAAAAGAATTAAAAAAGGATTGTCTTGTTTTGAAAAGGGTTTTTGCTATTTGTTTTTGGTTGTTTTTTTTGAAAAAAAGATATTTTTAAACAAATACATAAAAAAACAAATAAAAACCATCTTCAATACAAATACAAACAGTGTGTCGGTTGGTTACAAGTCTTTTGTGCATCTTCACTCTATTCATATATATCCATGTATTATTATCCTCATTAATCATATGTTTAACTATGGCTGTTTCTTCCCTCATTTCATACAGAATAGTCTAAGATTTAAGTTAATTTGTATTATGCCATTCATTCTCCTAAATCATTCCAATAACAGTACATCTTTATTTGTTTTTTTTAAATGTCTGTGCAAAGCGACCATTTTAAAATGGCCAGATAGGAGGTGGAAAAAAAAAACTTCTTCTCCTACAGTGCATCATATTTGCTTGTTTTTGTTTATTCTGCTTCTGCATTTATGTGGCTGAACTAATGATGTAGGCAAAACACAATTATGATTTCAAGTTTTAACTTCCAAGCAGTGCAAATGTTCAAGGGAACCAGAGTGTAGCTATCATCTTCCTTCGCTCCTATGGAGTTCACAACCGTGAGCACCTGGCAGGTGCAGCCTTTTAGATCAGTGGAACAGCATGAGTGGGTAGTGACCAGCTCATTATCCTGACCGCCGGTTTCTCATTTAAATCAGAAGATTAAAAGCTCTGCATCGATGTCAAATCTCTGTATCTCAACCAGATATTGAAAATGTATTAAATGTAGTGGTACTCTCAATTAAATTGACAGACAATTAGAATTGAGCTAAGAGGGATCTCTATAAGCTTTCAAGGCAGACTTTTTCTGGAGCACATTGCCGTATTGACACTTTCCATCTGCTAACAAATAAAGCTATAATTTAAGCCAGAGATGTCTCTAAAACCCGCAAATGCAAAAGTACATGACTGAATATATAAAAGTCTTCTGTGCACATGCATTGTCTATTGGTTAAATCTATCTCTCCCATTACATTAATTTGGTGTCTCTTTCACAGGAATGGCATCCAGGCAAGCAGGAGTCAGTTATTTTATTTTATTTTATTTTATTTTTTTGAATAGGCCACTGCTGATAACTAGGATATACCCACCCAATGCTCACGCTTGCTACAGTAGATCAGAAAACCCTGGGAGTTTAGCTCTAAAGGCATACTTAGTTCAGCACTGTGCTTGCACAGTGAGCTAATGAGAACCCTAGAAACAGGAACTGCAATAGAATTTCCATTCGGATTCCAAGGAGCTAGAATAGAATAACAGAGTTGAAAGGGACCTTGAAGGTCTTCTAGTCCAACCCCCTGCTCAGCCAGGAAAACGTATACTATTCCACACAAATGGTTAACCAATCTCTTCTTAAAAACTTCCAGTGTTGGACCATTCACAACTTCTGGAGGCAAGTTGTTCCACTGATTAATTGTGCTAACTGTTAGGAAGTTTCTCCGTAGTTCTAGGTTGCTTCTCTCCTTGATTAGTTTCCATCCTTTGCTTCTTGTCCTGCCCTCGGGTGCTTTGGAGAATAGCTTGACTCCCTCTTCTTTGTGGCAGCCTCTGAGATATTGGAACACTGCTATCATGTCACCCCTAGTCCTTCTTTCCATTAAACTAGACATACCCAATTCCAGCAACCGTTCTTTATATGTTTTAGCATCCAGTCCCCTAATCATTTTTGTTGCTCTTCTCTGCACTCTTTCTAGAGTCTTCACATCTTTTTTACATCATGGCGACCTAAACTGGATGCAGTATTCCAAGTGTGGCCTTTCCAAGGCATTATAAAATGGTATTAACACTTCACAAGATCTTGATTTATAATCAAGATGCCTTCTGCCTCCTTATAAATAGTCCTTGACTTACGACTACAAATGAGCCCAAAATTTCTGTTGCTAAGTGAGACAATTGTTAAGTGAATTTTGCCCCAATTTTATGACCTATCTTGCCATAATTAAGTGAATCACTGCAGTTTTTACATTAGTAATAACCTTGTTAAGGGAATCTGGTTTTCCCCCTTGACTTTGCTTCTTAGAAGGTCACAAAAGATGATCACATATCCCAGGGATGCAGCAACTATCACAAATACCTTCTAATTGCCCAGCATCCAAATTTTGATCATGTGACCATGAAGATGCTGCAACGGTTATAAGTGTGAAAAACTGTCATAAGTCACTTTTGTCCATGCTGTTGTTAACTTCAAATGGTCACAAAATAAACTGTTGTAAATCGAGGACTACATATTCATATATGAATATGAATATTTTACTACTTAGACAATAAATAAGAGCTAAATAATAGTGTTTTGGAGAAAGACACATTCTGTGTGTGTGCCAAGACATATCACGGGATCCCAAGTTTGTTTTTTAACTTATTGCACTTCCTGTAAGTGGCATAAATATTTATTTTGCTTTCCTCTTCTCTTTCTTTTCCTTCTACATCTGATTAATAAAATACTTCTCCTAAATTTCCCTAGTCCTAATGCGTATTAAGGACATGCTTGCATATTTACTTACAGTATATCAGCCACTTATTAAAGCTGCTGAAGTAGCGGAAAATTTAATTCCTGCTGAAGTGAAGCGAAAGAGAAAGACTTTTTCAGGGAATTGCCAGGAGTTTGGCTTCATTTAATATGAATCTTCGCAGGGCAGAGGAGAGCAGTTTTCTAAAAACTTTTCAAAATTTTCTCCGATGACTAAGGAATTCATCATCAACATTCAGCACCAGAATTTTGAGGAAAATACAGAATGGGCAAAATGCATGTTGGTGTCTAGGACAACATTTAGCCCATATATTAGGAAATAAAGAGGAAATAAGATCTAATGATGCCTTTCATAACTATTGTGTTACTGTAATAGGAAAAAAAATAGCTGAAGTAAATCCTTTCCATTTTAATGAATTTCACTTTGCTGAAGTTTTGGAGCTACTTTTATTTCCATCTTATAATTCAATTTTAATTTATATGTAACAGAATAATAGAGTTGGAAGGGACCTTGGAGGTCTTCTAGTCCAACCCCCTGCTCAGGCAAGAAATCCTATGCCATTTCAGACAAATGGTTGTCCAATCTCTTTTTAAAAACTTCCAGAGTTGGAGCATTCACAACTTCTGGAGGCAAGTTGTTCCACTGATTAATTGTTCTAACCGTCAGGAAATTTGCCCTTAGTTCTAGATTGCTTCTCTCCATGATTAGTTTCCACCCATTGCCCTCAGGAGCTTTGGAGAATAGCCTGACTCCCTCTTCTTTGTGGCAGCCCCTGAGATATTGGAACACTGCTATCATGTCACCCCTAGTCCTTCTTTTCATTAAACTATGTGAACAGTACATTTGCAAATGACCAACGAGAGAGTGGGAGTAGCCATTTGTCTTCTGGTGAAAATATCTGCCCTCTTCCCATCTTGCAGATGCGGCTTTATCCTGCTTTGTTTCTATCAAAGGAAATGGGAAATGCAAATGTGAAGATGAAAAATCATTGAGTGAAAGGACTGAGAGGAAGCTTATTCACATTCTACAGGCATGTCTCACTATCTCCCGTTTTTATTCGATATCCATACTTTTATATGCCACAAATTCTGCAGATATTTTTCTATTGCAGGTAGACCTTGACTTATAACAGTTTATTTAGTGACTGTTCAAAATTACAACAGCACTGAAAAAAGTGAATTATGACTGTTTTTCACATTTACGACCATTGCAGCATCCCCATGGTCACATGATCAAAATTCAGACGCTTGGGAGCTGACTCACATTTATGACGGTTGCAGTGTTCCAGGGTCATGTGATCCTCTTTTGCGACCTTCTGACAAGCAAGATTCACTTAACAACCTTGTTACTAATTTAACAACTGCAGTGTTTCACTTAACAACTGTGATAAGAAAGATTGTAAAATGGGGCAAAATTCATTTAGCAAATGTCTCACTTAGCAACAAAATTTTGGGGCTCAATTGAGGACTACCTGTATAGAACTCCAAAAAATGGAATTTATCATATATGAAGAATGATGGATTTATCAAGCTTGAGGTGTAACAAAAACATTTATTCTTAGATGTTGGAAAGTTGCAGCCTCAAGGTTACAGTCTTGAACCTGTGATACGTGTTCACTATTTATCTATAAACTGGCTAGTGTAATAGAAAAAAATCATCAGTATTATTCCATGTGATCAAGGTTTAATGATTGTTTCAAAAATGGACTGCACGTTCCCTACTTTAATCATTGTTTCAAAAATGGACTGCACGTTCCCTACAGAACATATAATATAATATCTTTTTGTTGTTTTCTTTTTCCTTTGGTTCTTACGTTTGGGGTTTTTTTGTTGTGTTTTTGTTTTACGCCTCTGCATTATAATAAAGAAAAAGCTCTACTCTGAACTTGGCAAATCATTGTGACCCTGGAAGAAAACAAATAGGATGAAGCAGTAATTTTTCCTAAATATTAGCTAGCAATGTGTGACTAACAAAGAAAACAACCCACCGTCTCCCAGGAATTGCAGGAGAGCTAAATCAATCGTTCTCTTCCACTTGGAGTCCTTCTGGAGGGCAATGCCATAGCCAGTGGTGGCAAAGACTTTCCCACTGCCAATGGTTACCAGCTTGCAACCCTCATCCTTGCCAGCCATGTAATTGAGCACTGCGGCATCATAGATAAAAGCATCCAGCTTTCTGGAATCAAGCACACAGAAAAAGCAGATTAGGGAACAATTGCTATGAAACACAATAGGAAGAAACTAGGGACTCCATCCAAGTTGGGAAAAGCTTGTATTAGACAATAGGAATGTCCCCATTTTTAAAATGACTCTGAAGAAGTGCTTTGAGCTTTGTAGCACTATAGCGTGTCTCTGTTAATTAAGGGAGTCTGATCTGTTTTTAGGCTTCTTAGACAAGTCAACATTTCAAGGAAACCTCAATGCTTCTCCAAGCTCACTTGAAATCCAGGTAAAAGTCACAATGTGTTAATGAATATTTGTCATCGTGTGAGGTCTGAAGCCATGTTCCAAATCATTTTCAAAGCATGCACAATCCTACTGTAGATCGGGTACTGCTGGGTTTGAATTTATCAGAGAATACCAAGGCTGCAACTTCAGCTGGACTATAGACTACTGGGCCATTCTTCACATAGAAAGAATGACCCATAGCAGAGGTGGGTTTCAGCAGGTTCTGACCAGTTCTGGAGAACTGGTAGTGGAAATTTTGAGTCATTCAGAGAACCGGTAGTAAAAATTCTGATTGGCCCCACCCCCATCTATTCTCTGCCTCACGAGTCCTATCTGATCGGGAGGAAATGGGGATTTTGCAGTAACCTTCTCCTGGATTGGGGAGGGAATGGAGATTTTACAGTATCCTTCCCCTGGAGTGGGGTGGGAATGGAGATTTTACAGTATCCTTCCCCTGCCACGCCCACCAAGCCATGCCCACAGAACTGGTAGTAACATTTTTTGAAACCCATCACTGACCTAGAGGCCAGGTGAGTACATGAAACTGATCAAGACATCATTCATCCCATTAGCATTTTCATCAAATATTCTATCTGTTGGGCTTCCCACCAGAGTTAATTGTAAATTAATTCTTGCTTTGTTGATTATTATTTATTCAATACAGATAGGCAAGCTCCTGTATATAAATAGGGCGCAAACCCCACACTCACAAAGGAATGGACAACTCAATATAGCCAACTGCCATGGCCAACTCACCACGGCCAATTCACCGTGGCTAACTTGCCACAGCAAACTATGTAAAATAATTTTAAAATAATTTTAATTTTTGTAATTCACTTTTCATTTTGTCCCTCCTTTGGCATACTTTCTTTCATGATTCTATTCCACTATTTCTTTGATATTAGTATAAGTCTTGTCCCATGATGAGTTGGCCACAGTAAGTTGGCTTTGGTGAGTTGGCCATGGTGAGTTGCTGTAGACCCCACTCACTAGCATTAATTATGTTTCCTAGCAAGTAATGAAATGTCTGCAAGCAAGACAACCCAGCTCAGAGAGCAGTAAGGACTCAACAGTTCAACCCTAAAGCTACATATATGCTCTTCTATTGGGGACATCAAATTGTTTCTTCACAGGTTCACGTTTTCAGATGGGGAAGAGACTAAGTAAGGTTGTCATATAAGAGTATGCAAAAATGCTATCTGTAGGCTGAAGACTGGTAGAAGTTCCATTATAGTTAATGCCATAAACATTAGCAATATATAGAAAGTTTGGGTATCAAGGACGTTTGAACACACAAGGAGGCTACCATAGGCTTCCCCTTCTAATATGGTGTTATACTCAACACATATGCCTACTATTTGAAAGCAGTTGTAGATACAGCCCACTCAAATTGGAATGCCTATGTAAATTTTTCCTTGCTGAAACAAAGTAATTACTACAACTTGAAAGGACTAAGTCCTAGAAATCAATGTTGGTGCTACTTCAAAAGGACTAGAAATCTTGTCCTAATTAGATCTGGTTAGAAATAATGTCATTGGACACAGAAATTTTGAGGCTGAAGAAACGGAAAGCTACCCCATTTTGAGGCTGACGAGGGCGTCTTCCACCGAGCGCTGGTTGTATTTTACCATGTGGGTATGCATGTCGTGGTAATTGCTCCGGATATTTCTCTCTGTACTACCATTGGGAACTGTTCCAAATCGGAATGGAGGGTACTGCTCTTGAGGTTTTTGGAACTGAAAAGGAAGACCAAAAGAAAACAGTTGGTGTATTTTATTCAGCACTAGAATCTGGCCCAGAAAGAGCTATGTACATACTTGTGTACCTTCCATTTTACAGGTTGAATAAGGAGGTTATGTACACATTTATTTTATTTTAGCTGATAACTTAGATTGCCACAATGTTCCATTTACATTTTACAGAGAGTCATGATACATTCAAGGAAATGAAGAAAGAAAAGCTGCTATCTTCACTCATAAAAAAGTCAAATATAGGAGCACAAAATAGTTTCCCAGAAAATTGCTTTGTTGTAATGTAGATACAGAGACCATTATTTTTAGTAACTTTTGCTGTTAGCCAAAAATGAGTTTTCACATGGCTGTTCTCCAAAGACTGGTTTCCTATGGTAACAAATACTTATGTAAATTCAGGTTCTGACAATGATCACGCCCATGAAAGACAACTGAGTGGTCTCCATGTGTCTTGCATTTTGACTTCCCCCCCCCCATTTTTATTTATGTTATGTTATTTGGAAAATTTATATGGCCATCAATCTGAAAGAAATAACTTGGAGTGACTAACAAATAATGCATTAAACTGTGTTCATAAAAAAAAACCAATGTAAAACTATATAGAGTGCAATAATAAAATATTAAATAATAATAAAATAATATAAACATAATATTGTAATCAAGGGAATTCACATGTTCTTAGCAACTCATACACTGTCATATATAATGGGCTTTAGTATCTTGGCTCTAATACCTGAGGAAGCCAGATTATCCCATCCTTTCAGAGCAGGGTCTGGTTATCTGTAAACTCAGGAGTAAGGCTGTCCCAGGGGGCAGGCTCTGAAGTAAAGAAAGCATGTCTCCTGGGTCCCATAAGATGAAGTTGGTTCAGAGGGGGTTTTGTCAGGCGCAAAAGACCAGGTCCACACAGAAAGTTCGATTTAAGTGATTTATTGCTAAAAGCCTATGCACATGAAACCTTCTCAACGAACTGTCAGCATCTGCTTAGAGTTAGATAAGGATCAATGAAAGTCAAGCGGGGTTGGACTTTGTGGCTATGTAGTGATTCTAGGCTGAGTCCTCTTTTTATCTCTTCGCCTGACTCTGCCATTCCTTCTTTGATGGACTTGACTGAAACCACTGGAGAAAAAGCTATTCCAAAAATAATCTGGCTCTGTGCCATGCAGGGCTTGTAATGGTGAAAACAAGCACCTTGAATTGAATATGGAAATCTTTTTGGAACCAGTGTGCTCCTTGTAGTATTGATGCATTTATCAATTTATTCATTTATCACTCTTGAAGAGCAACTCTGGTGGTGTACAAATAAAATATTAAAATATAATAACAATATATAACATATAAAAAGAGGCAAAGATGATTAAAATTCAATGTTAATTAAAAGAAGGGGGAGGTTCTTCAGGGCTGCTAATCAGCCCCATGTCTGCATGATCCTCTGTGAGCCCCCCAAGGAAGACAGCAGAGCAGTTATCATGTTGTGCCTCACATGGCCCTAAACTTCTATTCAAAATGATTCTGGAGATAAACCAAATCCAACTTCACAAACCTTCACTGATTAGCAATAGCATCTTAAACCATGTCCTAAACAACAAACCTCAAAACCATACTTTGAGCTCATCAGCTCCCAGCAGCATGGTCGATAACAAGGGATCCTAGGACAAATGGGAGGCATCAAGTTGCTACCATTGATCTTTCTGGTGACTTACTCCAAGGTCATTAATGTTGGTTACCACCAGGGTGAAATGCTACCAGTTAGGGCCAGTTTGCCCTAACTGGTAGTAAAAAAAGTAAAAAAAGAAAGTTCCAAGGATCAGATGAGCGATGCGCGATCGTTGGAACTTTCTTTTTTTAACTTTTTAAAGCATTTTTTACTACCAGTTCACTGGTAGTAAAAAATGCTTTTAAAAAGTTAATAAAAAGGTTCCCAAGCTCGCGTGCCACAGCTGATTCTCCCCCCCCTCTACTTACCTTCCCAAGCCTCCTTTTGGTGCACACCGCACATGCATGTGCACAGCACACGCTTGGCGTGCAGCGTGCATGTGCAGCCAGCAAACCGGTGGCAAACCGGTTCAGATTTCACCACTGGTTACCACCTTCGTATCATATTAATTAAATCATCATTATTGCTCACCTTCCTATCGCTCAGCCCAGAGACGGTATCAATATATTGCTCCTGGATCATGAATGCTGCCAAGTTTGCAGTGTAGCTGGCTAAGAAGATGACAGCAAAGAAAGCCCAGATGAGGACCATAATTTTACTGGTGGTGCCTTTGGGATTTTCAATGGGAACAGAATTGTTGAAAACCAGAGCCCAGAGTAGCCAAATCGACTTGCCGATAGTGAAGGATGGCCCACCGGACTCTAGAAGGAGGAACATAAATAATGAGTCTTTCTTGAAAAAAGAAACAGGTCTCTTAGCAATAAAATAAACCTGTAAGGCATGGTTCTCATCCTCAGTATTATGAGTGCCACCTGAGGGATGCAACTCTGAAGACTTTTCATTCATTGATACAAAATTTTGTAAAAATGAGCATTTTTAGTAGTATATGTTGGGATTTGCATTGCTTTGCTTACTTTTTTAATCACACAATCACATTTGGAGATAAAACTGTCTCTTTAGAACTAAAGCTAAATGTTGTGGTTTATCTTTGCTAGCTGATGGGAAATAACTAGAAATATTCAAAGGCCTCAAAATAAAGGCAAACTAGGGAACAGGCATTGAACATCAGAGTCAGGAGGATCAATTTAGCTGTGATATAAGGAAAAATCCTAGCTACTTGGGATGGATAAATGTGCTTATCCTTCTTGTGGGTTACAAGCTGACCGTTCTGGAGAAAAGAAAAGAAAAAGGAGGCAAAGCACAGAGTCAGTCAGGAAAGGCTGAATCAGAAAAGGTGAGATCTGCTACTGGGACACAAGTGCTCTGACCCAGCCTTAGCAGAAGCAAGAAACAGACTCCTTGTCACGAAAACCCCCTCTTTATTTACCTCTTGTGAATTAATTGCATTCACCCACCGAAAAGTCCAGGCAATAGTCCTTCGAAGAGTTAACCGCAGTAACAGATCTTATCAGTTCCTTGCGATAATTGCAAGGCCATGAGCTCCCAGCCAAAAGGCTGCAAATTAAATTCTTTAATTTAATTTTGTGGTACGAAACACAATGAGCAAAATCTTCAGAAATACGAACTGTTATCTCCTACAACAACTACTCCCCTTTCCTTCTATTTATTCCCTAGCTAGGGAGGGGCCATTCAGCGTCCACGTGTAGTTTGCTCCCCGAGTTGACGTTTTTGCCATTTCCCTTTGACCAGCTGGATTGGGCCAGGCCCCTACATTGGTGTTACATGCCCTATAACTGCTCCTATTTATTGGAGTCATCGGAGAAGGTGAAGGAGTAGGACCAACATAATCAGCTGCCTGGAGTAGACTCTGGACAGCAAACGTTGATAGCAAAGGAGAACCGAGAGTCAGAGGGAGAGAGAGAGGAATAAAGATGATACTGGCTTACAGGCAACCCAGACTAATAGAAAGTTATATCCCTCTCTGCACACACGGAAGGAAGGCAGCAACATGCTGAACTTGGCCAAGCACTGCAGATTTTCCCTGGGATTAGAGCTGTAACATTTCATTTGTTACAGCCACTGAAATGGGCAATGGTTAATGGCAATGGTTTGGAAGGAGTTAACCGATTCAGAATTCTGAGAGTCTTCACAGTTTTCATGTTCTTGATCTCTCTACATTACACAAAAGTCTCAAAAAAATCACCACAGGACATTTGGGTATGGAGCAGTGGTGAAATTCAATTTTTTTTACTACTGGTTCTGTGGGCGTGGCTTGGTGGGCATGGTGTTGCTTGGTGGGCGTGGCTTGGTGGGCATGGCAGGGGAAGGATACTGCAAAATCCCCATTCCCTCCCCACTCCTGGGGGAAGGATACTGCAAAATCTCCATTCCCACCCCACTCTGGGGCCAGCCAGAGGTGGTATTTGCTGGTTCTCCGAACTACTCAAAATTTCTGCTACCGGTTTTCAAGAACCTGTCAGAACCTGCTGGATTTCACCCCTGGTATGGGGATTCCTTCAATTTCTAAGCAAAGTGGTAGGCCCAAGTTCTAAATATTTCATTTCTCCTCCCCCCGCCCCTTATATTAGGACAGTCTTTTTTGCTTTAAATGAAGAATGCAACAAACAAAACAACAATCTGAAAATGTAAAATACTCTGTGTGTGTGAAAGAGAGAGGGGAGGGGAGAGAGAGAGAGAGATTCCAATAAAGCAATCAGGAACATCCAGGTGTCCCGTACCCTGCCAAAGAACATGATGGAAGCTAAAAAAAGATTGCTTATTTTTACTCTGGTTTCTTCTCTCCTTCTAATTAGTTTGCCATCTCATTCCAGCATCCTTAACTATGATCTCTGAACGATAGCAAATTTTCCAAGGTGAGAAATTCAGAGAATTCTCTGGAAGGTGAGATGACTGAACAAAAGTGGCAATGGACAGTTGGAAGGAATTCATTCCACTCACACCCTTTTCATTATCTACATGTCAGGATGTATAAGTTTTATCAAGGATAGAGGTCAACAGCAGCTTGCGTCTAAAAGCAACTGTGAGAAAGCTCTCAAAATCTCTAAGAAGTGGGACCCACTAATTGGAGAATCTGCTCAAGAAGCCTACAGGCACTTTCAGGGGCAAAGAACTGTTGAAGAACTGACCAGGACTAGAATGGAGGGATTTTCACACAATGTTTAGCCGCAACCTGGGTCAGAATGACAAAAAAAATAAAGGACAAACTACCATGTGGCCTGCAATGTTTTTTACTGTGGATCAAATCAAAACAGTGTCACGGGTATGATGTTTATAAGGCTACCTACAAGATTCAAAGGAGAATCTTTTAATTATTGTAGAGAGGCCAGAATTTTAGGAGATGGTGCAGTTAATCATACAGGTGGGAGAAAAGCCGTTTTCTGACATTTCCAGTTCTATACATACATTTGAACATCGTTCTTCTTTGCATTTGATTGGTCTGTATAGCTTGCCCAAAAGACTCTTGGATGGCTGTTTTCATTAAAATAATAATAATAATCCACTCAGTCGTAACAGATTTGGTCTCTTGAAATCTAGTGTGTTCAGTGTTTAATGTACTGTAAAAAATACCTTTAAGCTTTTGAACAACCTTTAGATTTCTCACCCAAGATTTGCTAAACTTCCAATCTATTGTGCACGTTCCTGTTTCCTGTCACCCAAGTATATATGAGGTAACAGTAACAGAATTGGATGAGATCTTGGAAGTCATCTAGTCCAGAGATGGGCTGCTGCTGGTTCAGACCGGTTCGCCTATACCAGTAGTTCCGACCAATCGCCCTGGTGCTATCCCGTTCTATATATCTCATTCTCTGGCTCGCTCGCCCCACCCATGCAGCCCACTTGATTTCCGCGCCTCACCTGCTCTACTCACCACGGCTGCCCAAGAAGGTGTACTGGAAACCACGCACATGAAATTGTCGTGTGTTTGAAGCCGCACGTGCTCACATTTTGGATTCTGCACTAGGCGAACTGGTTGTTAAATTATGTGAAGCCCACCTCTGATCTAGTCCAACCCCCTGCTCTTGTTGGAGACCTATACTGTTTCTGATAGATGGCTGTCCAGTCTCTTCTTAAAAGCCTCCAATATTGGGGCACCCACAATTTCCAAATGCAAGCCGTTCCACTGGTTAATTGTTCTCCCTGTTAGGAATTTTCTCCTTAGTTCTATATGGCTTCTCTCCTTGATTAGTTTCCATCCATAGTTTCTTGCCTGCCCTACAGGTGCTTTGGCAAATAAGTTGGCCCCTCTTCCTTGCGGCAGCCCTTCAAGCATCGGAGTGTTAGAGATCAATGGTAATTGCCAAGTTTGCACTTATGACTGTACAAATCTGGGAACAATTACAAATAAATTAATGTCATACACTGCTTCATTGCTGCTTTGCCACTGGATGAAAATTATCCTATTAACCAGACATGTGCAGCCCTTCAGAATTAATATTGGCAGATATGCTACACTTGCTGGTGCTTCCTTCAAAACGTTGTGCCTTTTCCTGGGCTTACATGGCAGTTGCACAATCTCAGAGAAATAGATGTCCGAGACGCAAAGATCCAATAGCAAGTCCACACTTGCTCTGAAGGACTGCACATCCCTGTAACTAAGCAGTATAAGAATTCTTATCCTGGGAATCAGACCAAAGGGGATCCTGGGAGGAACAGAAATGTATGACTCTTCATTGGCAGGGACGGCAATGGGTTCCATGCAAAATACAGAAAGTATTTATAAGCTAATTGGAGACATTATCTTTTGCAGTGGCAAATCTTTTCCCTTATGCATGTGGTTTAATACAGTGCATCTCAACCTTTTCTTCACCATGGACCCCCTTTAAATAACTTTTGTAGCCATGGACCATGGCCATGGAACACCCCCCCCCGACTTAACCCAAGATTTAAATCATAATATTTCTTCAAGCCTTCACGGACCCCCTGCGATGACATCCTGCTGTCCCCCCTCCCAGGGTCCCCGGACTCAGGTTGAGAATCACTGATTTAATAGATTACATTAAGACAGCACGCTCTATATTTCTTCTACTCCTTGGTTACTTCAAACCTTTCTGTTCATTCTGGGCTGTCATTCTTCTTAGGGTGCTTGGAAAAGGCCAATCGAAAAGTACCTTTGGACTTCATTAGTCTATTTCATTGAAATAACTGGCAAGAAAATGCTTAATAAAAGAATAATCCCGCTTTTTGTCCTTTCGTCCCTCACCACCCAAGTAAAGCAACTCATTCACTGAGCCATTTGGAAACTTACTTACTTTTGCCACTGGTTAAATTCTGGTTGTAGCCAACAGGACTGAAATATTCAAACACGAAGACTGTGATAGCAACAACCGTGAGACACATTACAAACATCATCACCCACACAGCTGGGCTGTAAGGCTCTAGAAGATGAGAGGAAGCCAATCAACTTAGGATAACAGGATTGATTAGGAAAAATCATTTGTTTATGCATTCTTACTGCAATCTATACATTCTTCCTATTGGAAGGATAACCCAAATTACATGAACCAAGACTTACATGCAATATCTGCTGAGATTTTAAAAAAATTGCCATCACATCAGTGGTGAAATTCAAATTTTTTTACTACTGGTTCTGTGGGTGAGGCTTGATGGGCGTGGCAGTGGAAGGATACTGCAAAATCTCCATTCCCTCCCCACTCCAGGGGAAGGATACTGCAAAATCCCCATTCCCTCCACACTCCTGGGGGAATGATATTGCAAAATCTCTATTCCCACCCCGCTCTGGGGCCAGCCAGCGGTGGTATTTGCCAGTTCTCTGAACTACTTAAAATTTCTGCTAGTGGTTTTCCAGAACCTGTCAGAACCTGTTGGATTTCACCCCTGCATCCCATCTTTTATAACTTTACATCGTCATAGACAACAATGAGATCTATAACATGGAAGGAATACAAAAATGTTGCAATTTATTGTCACAAGCAGTTTGACCTGCCCTACCCACGCACTCTATTTCATTGCCCCCTCCCCTTTTCTGTTCTCCCTCATAACCCCTTGCTGTCATCTGTGTTGAAGGACCAGCATGCTAAATTCTCATTTGGAATTTGTTTTACACACTGCCAAATTGTGTGTGTCTGTATCTGTGTCTGTGTGTTTCCATATCTGCTGATGTCTCCCTCTTGTGCATAGCTAATAGGGCTTAGTTCCTCATTTCTTCTTACTTCTGAATATTGGCAATAAGGAAATTGAAAACAGCTCCAAAACATTGTTGGTGACAAGACTCGCTAGAGATTGGTCCTAAGGACCTGAACTGAGACAGACAGACAGACAATCAGAGAGATAGCTATAAATAAATAGATGATAGAATGAATGGATAGATATAGAAAATAAATGATAGATAGATTTCTATCTATCTACCGTGTTTCCCTGAAAATAAGACCCAACTGGAAAATAAGCCCTAGCATGATTTTTCAGGATATTGTAATATAAGCCCTACCCCCAAAATAAGCCCCAGTTAAAATTGTCAGCCAGACGGATGCATTTAGTACCATATTTCCCCAAAAATAAAACCTAACCGGAAAATAAGCCCTAATGCGTCTTTGGGAGCAAAAATTAATATAAGACCCAGTCTTATTTTTGGGGAAACACGGTAGGTAAGTAGGTAGGTAGGTAGGTGGGTGGGTAGGTAGGTAGGTAGGTAGATGGATAGATAGATAGAGGATAGATAGATAGATAGATAGATAGATAGATAGATAGATGGATGGATGGGATGGATATAAAGAATTTTACCTTGATATGAGAGTCAAACAGTAAGCAGGACTAGCATATACTATATCAGAGAAGTGCCTTTTTAATTCATGAGTTGTTGCTTCTCCAGGAGCAAACTCAAAGTATGGATGTTGGCAGAAGTAACATTCAAGCCCAGACTATATACTGATTATTGAGAATGGACTTGTGTAAATAGAAGGGAACAAACTTTCTCCTAAATTCCTAAGTAGCCCTTGCGCACACAAGGAGCAGTGCCACCTATATAGAAAGTGAGTTATTTACTCTGCTGTCTTCCCAATGGGTTGGGAGTCAATTCCAAACATTCCCCGTCCAACTAGGCATATGTGGAATCCAATAAATCTCCAGGATATAATTTTGGGAAAGCTAGAAGACTCTGCTGGATGTAATTTCATTCACTTAGATGCTGCATGTAGAGCTGCCATGGTTTGCTGTGATAGTTGCTCTCCTGATGACCCAAGAGAGCCTAGAAAATGTCTGTAGAATTCCCAGCTTCTCTTGTTTCCCCCAACTTTCTTTTCTCTTCTCCCTGTGCTGTCGGGAGGCTGTCACTCACAATCAGAAGGATGTCAGTATGATGCTTGATATGCAGCTCCTGATTTCATCAAAGGCTCCCATTTCAAAAAGAAGCATTTAAACCGTAGCTGCATGCTTTTTTCCCCCCTTCTGCAGTCACATGTTCCACATTGATTCATTGTTGAGATGTGGCAGTCTAGATACATCCCTCATCTCAAAGACAGAAGAGGCATGCCCCTGAAGACACAAGTGGAAGTTAAATCCCAGAGGAAGCTAACACTGAATCTAACCTGACCCCTTTTCCATTGAAACTCAAGGCAGGGGATCCAGACTACAAGAGAGTCAAGTAAAAGAAAGTGACACTGGGAGGGGAGCACTTACATTAGCTCCAATCAGAACAAATCACACATATATCAAACTCATATCTGGAATGATTTTATGCACCCGCTGAGGAAAGACCTTTGCTACACTCCTGCTATATATAGCATTTTTTTTAAAAAAAATAAAACCTAAACTGATAGAACAAAAAGGAGAGAACAAGAGTTTTACCCAATAGGAGAAACATTCACTTGCTAAAAGGTTACTCTGCAGATAATCACGGAAAATGTATGCAAGGAATGAGGGAAGATAGGCCTATGGCACAAGATTGTCACTAGCATTTAGCAGTCAAGGAACTAAGGGTGAAACATTTTCATAAGCATTTAGAAAATCAAAGTCAAATTTAAAAAAGGACAGAACTGAAAGAGGCTCTTTTGGTATTGTCATTTTGGTATTGTCCTGCAAAGAACCCCAAAGATAAAGGGGAAAATAAATATTGCTTTAGAGATGTGTACAAAAAGATAGTATAGAAAAGAAACCATAGCCGGCTGGGGATGATGGGAGTGCAACAAACCAGAATATTCTCCTCAATCAGCCACAAGCTAGACTACCACACAGTGGCAATTAAATCAAATCCTCCTTAAGTATAACCTCCAATTGATAGAGGATCGTGTAGGATAAAACATAGAGCACAAGTTAATACTGTTAAAGTAACAGTTCACACTCATATATTGTTTATTGAGGTAAGAAGAGACCCTTTCATAGAAAATATGTCTATTTCATTGCTAGCCACAGATGTGGGGATCTGACACTGGCTTAAGAAGTTCCAGCATGAAAGTGGATGTTTTCCTCTTATCCCAATTCAAAACTCCCTAATATAAAATTCACATCTCAAGGAAGCTTCGAATGATATAGTCAGAAATTCACTCGGTTTTAGTTCATCATTGTAAGATGACCACTCCTGTCCAATCAATGGGCCATGGGTCTTCAAAGCCATTTAACGGTGGCTATGGCAGTTCAATCTTCTCATTTATACAGCCTATTTTTTTCTTTTTTGTTGGGGGGGTGTGTGGAGGTTGAACATGGGAATGTTGATCTCATGAAAGCAGTATTTTCTATGAGATCAATATTCCCATTGGTAAACATGAATAAACAATACTTCAAATCAGCTCCTCCAGTCACTCAGCCTTGTTTTTTCTCATGGAAGAGTTTGTTTGATTTATATTGAACCTATATTTCTTTGATGGGATTATCAATATCATAGCAGATCATTGATTTCACAAATTTATTTTTACTTATGATTAAATTTATATGCTGCCCATCTTGCTTAGAGGCAGCTCGGGGGTAACTTACAATGATAATCCTGTCACCTGGGGGTTGTCTAATAGATTACTGCAGATAGGGGTGCAATCTGTGGCTGTTTTCCGACTCTTCCCACTTCTCTGGGCAATGTCCAAGGTTCCGGATGTGCTACCTAACAGATTAGGATTGAAGAGGAGCTACAGGAGATGGATGTGGCAGAGGTAAAGAGATGATTATTAGCCTTGCGGTTTTCAAGGGGCAGAGAGAAAGCCAACTCTGCACATCAGGCCATACAGGCTGGGACTCCCATCTTGTGTTTGTGACGAGTAGACAGTTGTGAGAGACTGCATCATTGGTGTCAGAACACCCACATGGACATGATCAATATAGGGAAACAATCACAGAATCACAAAAACATATGGGATGAAGAAAAACAGAATGTGAGTGTGTGTGTGTGAGAGAGAGAGACCAGGCCATTTTCAGATGTTGGCAGCAACAGAGAGACACTGAGAGCTCCAGCATTAAAGGCAGACTGAATAATGGGATTAATTCAGTCCCCCCAAATACCGTCACTGAGGGCCATTTGTCAGCTTGTCCTTTCCTGTCATAAAGGACATAAACTTTATCTGATGGCATCAGATGCATTTCATTAGCATACTGAGAGGCAGATGAAAGGGAAGGGAAGGAGGTTTCGTAATAGCAAGAAGAGTCCTCCATTTCTATTGAGTTTAGGTCTGTCCCTCAGAAAGGACCCAAGGGAAGGAAAAATTAAATGGATACAGATTGCTCACTAATAGTATATCTGTTCGATAGCATACATTTAAATACTCTTAGGCTGGCGTCCTAGTTGCATTTAACTGGGGACACACACTCTGCTAAACACAGAAAGACACTGTCCCAAAGGCCACCACAACCTGGCGCTGTCCAAAGATGCCACACAAGGGGGAGGCAAGGTATGGAAAAGATTTAACAGTGGACAAGTGGGCATATTAACTGGAATATTAAAATATGTTTTTAACTGCAAGTAAGTGCACATTCACACAGCTGGAATATTTAAAAACTTGCTGGGAAACTAATGGAATTCTGCACAAGGGCACCTTGTATACCAGCAGCACCCTTGGTAAATGAATTGCAATATTTAATCCTGTTTAAGACGGACCAAAAAAATCTTTCTGCTGTCAAGAGAAAACCTTCTGCACTGGCCCAGGGATCTTCCCTAGGCAGCTCATGCTCACCCAAGGGGGCCCCTGCTCTTCCTCTATTAACAATAGTAAAAGTACTATTTTGAATGCTTCTGACTTTTTGAAAACATGTTACATTTCTTTTGCACAAAATAGGGCATCACAAAATTTGGAATTATAAGAAACTGTAAAGGCATACTGTACCTTAATCTGGAACATTGACTACTATTGACTACTGTAACGCTCTCTACATAGGGCTGCCCTTGAGGACCACTCGGAGGCTTCAGCTGGTGCAAAATGCGGCCGCGCGGGTTGTGATGGGA